GGTAAACATTTTTAAATAAGTAGAAGGCATACACTGTAGAATAGTAGAAGTATAGTATTATGTGCCATACATAATTGAATGTGTTGTACTCTCGTAAGACTGGTAGCTCAATAGTCGCCACAAACACAGGAGTAATGTACAGCATAAGAATGGTTTCGCATCCCAGTAGGGATTTTCCAGCTTTATTATAATCTTCTGGACCTGCCACTGTCTGTGTGGTCCCTCAGCGACTGAATGTCGTTATGTAGTGCAACATGGGGTCCAGTACAATCCGAACTGTGCAGCAGATCTCTCTCTGGCATCTACAGTTTAGGGACATCTTTAATGATAACTCTCAATATTGCTCTAGACCAGCATCTAAACCCAAGTTTCTTAGGGCTGCCTTCTGGCTTAGCAAGTTTGCAATGAAAACTCTGAAACCTGAGGGTGGCTCAGATAGAAGTTCAGGTTAAGCTGAGTGGAGCGTGGGTCTCAGCAGGCATCATGGTCTTGGAGGGAGACCAGTCTAAGTTAGCAGTTTGCTTTGAAGCCTCACATACCAATGAAAGAAGCTAACTCTTGACTCTGTGGGGGGCTGATTTTCCCTTAATGAGTCCAGAATTCCCTTTAAATGTATTAATTTGTTGATTTTGACATGTTGGAAGTTATGCACGATGGCCACTGCTATTGAGTCATATTTTTTGCTCTTTATCAAAGTAACTGGAAGAGTTAGGACCACATCACAACTTTATATTGGAACCAGGACCTCTTCCTGGGGAGGCTGTAGTTTTGACATAGAAGAAACCAAGAACAGGAGAGCAAAGGGTAGAAAGGGGCTATGCAGTCAATGACTCTGGGATATAGGAATTCCTCACTCTGGAATACAGACTAAAGGTGACATCATAACATCCACAAATCAAGAGTACTCTTGTGAAGGTTCTGTAGGGGACCCAGCTTAACCACTTCCCTTTTCCTGAATTGATCTACTGGACCTCTCACTGTTATCTCTAAGGACTGGTTAGGTTACACTGGTGACCTCTTGGGTCTATAGCTTCATTCATTGCCTATAGAATGCTCCCTTAATCTTATATCAGAAATAAAATAATCCAGAACAAAGCCAGAACATGGAACGCCATGTAGATAAATAAAAGCAAAAATAATTTGAGCAGCAGGGGAATACACTGTTTAATAGCAAAAATATGAATCAAATGGTACGGCTCCAAAACAAAAGGTCTATTGAACTTACACAAAGGCCTACATTGAACTCAACAATGACGTACTGCCCACTGAACATGTCAAATGTTCTTATGCAAAGGCCTATGTCTAATTACTCAGCGGAGTGGCTCCCACAGTGCCTAACAACCGCACCCAAAGGTCTGGGTGTTAACTGTTTACCAGAAAGTGGGCCCATACACTAAAGTATACAGAAACTGGGTCAGACGATCTTTTACATAGATCTGCTTGGTTACAAATCATAGGAGCAATGAGAAATCAGTGACATAGTTAGAGCTTACATTAGTGTTGAGCTTGCTTACCCAGCAGATCTGAAGAAAATCAGACGTATGGCATAAGGAGCCCAAAAGTGTACCTCTTGGTTCAAGGGTCCCCTGGAGTACTGCCAAGCAAAGATCTTTCAACAGACTAACAAAAACGAACAAACGTCTGGGTATGTTGCTCAGTGCTCCTGGGTTAAATCCTAGCATTGAAAAAAAATCACAGTGGAGCCTCCAGAATTGTAAAGAAGGATGAGATCATCCCTTAATGTGTTAAATAAAATGAAAAGGTGACCTTATTGCTCATCACAGTGAGGGTGAACTTGCTGCTCAGCCGGGATGACAGGCAGGCCTTATGCAGTGTAGGGGTCTGGGAAGCACGGAGGTCAGGGACTGTATACTTTCCCAGGTGGAGCAGGGCTGACATCACCCTTAGAAGCATGGTTATGAGTGGATTTGTTGTCATTCTGAGAAGTATTTAACAGGGTAAGTCCCTTCCTGACGGGCTGACTCTCAGAAGAGAGCACCTGTCGCTTAGCTCGTAAAAGCTTAAGAAAGTGGCTGCTGTTGATGAAGCAGTTGGTTTTGATGATGACTGCAGAACAATCAAACTTCTCCTAAGTATGTGGGAACTTTTTAGTATTCTCAGTTGATACCCACTGTTTGTCTTCATTAGAATGCAGTGTAAGATGGTGTCTGATTCAGCACAAGGTAACATAGTTATTTCTTGAGTAGATCAGAGTTTTATGGTGTTTTGTGAAGAGCAATAATAGGTGTCTCACTATGATCCAGTTTGAGAGCTATTCGTTTTGCCCACTCCATTAAGGTATTTTATGAGGCAAAAGGATTAGTGAGGTAAACTTAATCAAGAAATGCAGTTGTGTGTGTGTGTGTGTGTGTGTGTGTGTGTGTGTGTGTGATGGAGCCCAGGCTGGTCCTGAACTTGCAATCTTTGTGCCTCAGCCTCCCAAATAACTGGGATTACAGACCTGTGCCACTATGCTCAGCAAGAAATAGTCTTAAAACATAATAGTCATATCTCTTTTTTTTTGGTACCAGGGATCGAACTCCGGTCCTTGCGCTTTTGAGGCAGGTGGTGAAACCGCTGAGCTAAATCCCTGGCCATAATAGTCATATCTTTGATAGAAAAGTTCCATAACTATTATATTTATATCTTCAACTACTATTTTCTAGGTACTGCTCTAAAAACTTTGTGTGCATTATCGCATCCATTCTGTACTCCTTTATAGGTAACTTGGAGCAGAGTTGAAGTAACTTCTCTAAGTTGTTAGAGCTAGCAAATAGGAAAGCCAGGAGCCAAACCCAAGCGAGTCCAGGCAGTCTGACTTAACTTCTTTGTTTTCTAAACTGACAGAGTGCAACATATAACAAAGCCACCTTCTCACTGTTCTCTTTTTCTGGATATTATACTTGTACTGTGGAGACATTATTTGGTTTTAGCAGCCCAATCACAACCCCTTGTTGGCTTTTATTGAGCTTGTAATCATTGATAACCCCGAGGTCTTTTTCAGCTGATCTGCTGCTAAAATAAGCCTTTCTAGTTCTTTGATTGGTCATGCAGTTAATTCTTTTGGACTTAAATTCTACACTGTATTCTCTCCTCTATTTGGTTTCCGTCAGTTTGCAATGGTATATGGTTCCAGCTTGTAGAGTTATTTTGAATCTTGTCTCTGGTATTTCAGCTGTATGTCACCAACAGAACTCATAAAATACCTGTCACCTCTCCTGGGTTGCTGATAAAATTGTCAAGTAGAATAGGACCAGTGACAGCTTTTGTCTCTGTGTTAGGCTCATGTCTGACACAGACATAGGCTTGTGAGACTACCACAAAGCATTTACTTGGATTCTGTCAGGCAAATTTTTTCCCTTCCTTTCCTCTGAGAGTTTCTCAAGCTTGGTCCTATTGAGATTTGGACTGGAGAATTCTTTGTTGTAGTTGGCTGTCCTGTGTCATGTTTAACAGCATCCCTGGATTCTGGCCCCTAGATACCAGCAGTAGAGCTGCCTCCCACCAGACAAGCAAACATGTCTCCGGGCATGGCCAGACTTCCCTATGGGGGCGAGCTGCTCCCCTTCCTGCGGACAGCCTGCACTCCAATTTAATAAATCAACTGATTAAACAATCAAATATCTATTAAAAACCTGTTTGCCTATAACTTGATGGTTTCTATGAGTACTTTGACCCCAGAAAGATTATACCAAGAGAGGCATTACTGGCCCCCCAAAACAACTGGGGAGAGATGTCTGCTCCTGAGTGATTCAGTGTGAAACCCAGACTATGTGGCCGGTAAGAATTCAGATAAATGAGGAGAGCATTGAGGACAGAGGACATTTTAATAGCTCAAACATGATAGGGCTGTGTACTTTGAACCAGGGAAGGCATAGGACATTACCTTCCAAACAGGTATCATCTATCTCCTCTGTATGTAGGCATCTATATTTTTATGCATAGGCAAATACTCCAAATATAGGCTGTACCTTTTACACCAAAAATCGGAGCACATCAGCCATCTGGGAGGTCGAGGCAAGTGGATGACCAAGTTTGAATCCAGCCTAGGCAACTTAGCAACCTAATGAGACCCTGCCTCAAAAACAAATAAAAAGGGGCTGGGGTGCAGCAGAGTGAAGGCCCTGGATTCAATCCCTATACCTTACACACAGTTAAAAGTTAGAGCGCATCATTTGATACAGGGTTTGATGGGCAGAATATATTCTGCTTCTCCTGGAGAAGGCAACACGAAGGCACAGGGGCCCTGGTGGGCAGCCTGAGAAGCCAGCAGGCACAGTGGCACCAAAACCTGGTGTGGGAGGTTAGTGCCTGCCGCTTTGGGGTGGAGGGACAGCAAGAAGAAAGGTACCACAGCCGGACGGTCTGGCAGTGGGTTGGTTTGGGGCAGACGCACTGGGGGAGCGCAGGGTGAGAGACAGGCGATGAGGCGGTGGAGGGGAGTGCTGGACACTAGAGGGGGAGGCGTTCGGGAAGGCACCTGTGCTCGGGAGGTTTTGGGCATTAAGATCAGGCTCTGCCTTAATCTAGGGCCAAAGTTCTCTTTTGCAAATGGGAAGAACAGTAGTGTCAACGACACTATTTTCTTTGAAAATTCCGAATGCTTTTTTCTTGGATTAACCTCACCACGTTCCTGGTGGTCTTTCCTTGGGAAAGGAAGATTTTAGTGAGAGCGGATGTCTGCTCGGGCCAGGGACTGCAGGAGTGCGTGGTGGCGTTCGCTTGGTGGTTGTGGAGTCGGATCTAAGGCTGCCGCTCCGGAGCGAAGCTCTTCCGGCTTGGGGGGGGGGCGGTTTCAGCCGTGCCCCTGGTCCCTGATCCCTACCTAGTGCTCTGCAATGAGCTGCTGCTTCTCTTTGTAGCCTAGAACTTCAGAGTTTGGTTCCGGGGAGGAAGGCTGGGAAGGGACGAACTTATCTGATTAGGCGTTTGGGGAGCTTGCCTCTTACCCAATGGAGCAGCTAGGTTTTCTTTCTCTTCTTCCTTCCCTTTCTTCTCTCTTTCTGTCTCACTAAAAAAGCTAAGAAGCGAGGTGTCAGTCACGGAGGAAACCTGCAGCACGCAGCTGTGAGTGACAGCCTTTTCTCTCTGGGCGCTGGAGTTCGCCCCTTACTGCCCGTTCTCTAATTCTAGGTCAGAACCTGATGTACCTTAGGATCTTAAGACGCCAAGTCTGGAGGACAAGTCGGAATTTCAGTCTTCCCATCGCTAACACGAAGGAAAAGGCGTCTTCAGTAAATTTGTGAGCGTGTATCAGCAGCACCAGCGCCCCCTGGCGTGAGCCAAGTGCAGGCTTAGCGCGCCGCCGGCCGGGAGGCGTCGCCACCCACCACCCTCCCCGCAGGGCGTATCGTATAAAATGCTTTTTATTTCAAAGTGCAAAATGGTGATCACTGTAACAGTATAAAAAGCTGGCTTCCTCCCTCCTGCACAGTGACAGAGGGTCAGTTCCTGGAGGCACGTTTTGCACACATCGTGGCCGGCAGCGCCGCCCAGCAGCAAAACTCAGTCCCAGCGGCTCCCGGGGGTCCGTGAGGCAGGTCAGCTGCAGGCCCCCGCGGACAGCAGCGCGTGGCTCGGGTCCTCCCGCCGCAGGCCCGCGCCCCGCGCCCCGAAGCCCGGCCCCGGGGGGCTCGAGGCGGGGGAGGGCGCGCGGCCGCACAGCTCGGGCCCCCGGGCCTCGTCCCGCGCGGCCTGCGTGCGCGGCGCCTGGCTCTCCCGTGCGGCGCGCAGCTCGGCCACCGCGGCCTCCTGGTCCCGCAGGCGGCTGGCGGCCGCAAAGGGGCCGCACACGGTCTCCAGCAGGCCGAGTACCGCGCCAACGAGGGCCAGCAGGCCGCCCAACGCGTACAGCTTCACCTGCCTGCCCGTGGGCTTCTGCGCCGCCAGGTCACGGGCCAGGGGGAGGAGCGCGTGGACCGCGTCCATCGCGGCAGCGTCGTCGCGGACCTGCAGCGAGGCGGGGCGGGGCGGGACGTCAGGGCCGCACCCCGCGGACCGGGCCGGGCAGCGTCGGCGGGGCAGCGTCGGCGTGGCGCCCGCAGTGCTCACCTGGGCCTCAGCTCAGCGGCTGCGGCAGGCCTGCGGGCTCCTGGCGCCTCCTCCTCGCCTTCTCGCGGCTGCTCTCCAGACAGATGGAGCCCGGCGCCCGCGCCCGCCTTTATCTCTCGCCCGAGACCCGCCTCCTGGCGCCGCCAGGCGGAGACCGAGAGGAGCCGGGAGGGGGAGGAAGGGGCGGCGCGGCTGAGCCGAGGCACCTGGCGGGCCAGGAGCGGGAGCGGCGCACGCCCGGCCTTGTGAGCCGAGAAGCCGCCGGGCCGGGGTCACCGGGAGGCGCCGAGTCGCTAGGGCTGTCGGGGTGCACGGTTTCTCTAGTCCTGGGCAGCTCGAGAGGGGCTCCTGACGAGGGAATCTGGGGCTCCTCCCTAAGGGAGAAATACGTCATTAGATTCAGAAAGGGCTGTTTCCTTCCCAGGTGTGGGGCGATCCGAGAGAAGGCGAGGGGAGGGTTCGGGTAGTCAGCCGAACACAGCTCCACGCATCGGATAAAGGGCTTCTTTCCTGCCCGATTTGTTTTAAATTCAGAGGTGCACGCCTTGCCAGTCGGTTTATAGGGACGATCCCCCTGTAGCGCACACAGGTAGGTGTGTGAGCTAGGGGTCTGCTAGTGTCCCACCTGCACGTGTTTGTATAGGTGCCCTGCACGTGAGGGAACAGCCGTCAGACCCGAACTGTCCCCACGCCCACTTGAGAAGTGAAGTTGGGCTGGGAGGCAAGCCCTTGGGAACCGGCCCTTGTAAGAAATTTTCTCATCTAGAAAGGAAATATTTCAATAATTCTTTGCCATTTCCCTTCTTTTACTTCTTTGTACCAGCCCAGAGCCCGTGTAGGACATGGGTGCGTGCGTGCGTGTGTGTGTGTCTGTGTGTGTAGAGCAGACAGTTCAGGTAAGACGCTAGGAGGGACACTGGAAGCATGAGGGTATAGTTGATTAGGATTAAATAAGCCCCCGTGAGGCGAGGCTGTATCCCCTGTGGTTCTTGATACACCAGTTATGGAAGGGGGGAAGGAGAGACAAACAGGCCAAAAGGCTTTAGGCCCGGAGAGGGAGAGGCAGGGCCAGGAAGGGAAATCAAACAGGCCAGAAAGTTGGAAAGGTCGGAGACGCAGTCTTGCAACAGCCTTCACCTTCCGGCCGAGCCTGCCGCCCTGGGGAAAGGCTGTCTTTCTTGGCAGCTGAAGTTGTTTCCCAGACTGTTCAGTCAAAAAAGGCAGTGGAGCAGCTACCCTCTGCCTGTGCTGCTGGTGGCTCAGGGGGGGACTGGAGGGTGGGCATTGGTCAAGGCCACTGAGCTGCAGGGGTCTGTGTTTTAGTCTGGACTCTAGAAGTCCAGGTGATGGGGCCAAGTGGAGATGATTCTTAAACAGTTGTGTTTCCTGCCTGTGTTCTTTCTACCTTGTCATCAGGAAATTGTGTAACCAGGGAGCACGCCAGATTTAATTTCACTCTTGACATTTTCTTTGAATTTTCCTTGTCATTTCAGAGCACTCTTTCATAACCGGTGGAAAGGATGGGGGAGCATCCCATACCTGCCCGACACGTGGCGGCTCCCAGAAGAGCGGGTGATGTGTGTCCCAGGTGGGGCCCTCGCTGGGTTACGTTCTGAGGCGAGTTGGCCCAGCCTCAGACCCAAAACTGGCCGGGTATTTCCTGCGTTTCTGAAACCCAGGGATGCAAAGTGAGTCTTCCACAGGCGCAGGCTGCAGTTTGCCTGGGATTCCCCTTTCCCTTCTCTGGCCGTGCTAGAGTGTGTAGCGCCCCAGTGGGCTCCCTGCTCCCCTCTGCTAGCCTGACTGGCTCCCAGCCCCCACCAGCTCACTGTCCAGGGCTGGCGAAGGGGACGGCAGTGCCATCACCTGAGGGCACAGGTGGGTTTGGTCTGGGGGTTCAGGTGTAGCTGAGGCGAAGTGGGAGGTCATGGGATAGAAGGCCAAGGACCCCAGCGTCAGTTCATGCTCGGGGATTTCTAAACACGGCTCCTTGGATGGGGACTGGAACCCATTCCGAGGTGGGGCAGGCCAAGCCTTGGAACTGAATGGGCGGGCACATCCATCGGGTGGCGTCACTCTCCGAGAGCAAAGCCCCGTGTTGCATCATGCAGCTCAGACACAGCCATGGTGACCAAACACCCTATTTTCTTTGGGGTTGAGGGGTTTTCTGAGATGCAGGACTTAGAGTGAAAATGGAAGTAGTTCTAAGCAGAGTGGAACAGTGTGTCCCCTCCACAGTTTAGTCCATTTTCTGTTGTTAATAACGCAGTACTGCAGACTGGGTAAGTTACAAAGATAAGAGGTTTATTTTGGCTTGTGGTTCTAGAGGTACAAGGTCAAAGGGCCACATCACGTGTTGGCCTGTGGCAGAGTCCTTATATATGGCACAGGGCATCACATGACGAGACATGAGAGCATGTGTGTGCGCCTCTTCTGATCTCTTCTTATAAAGCCATAGGATCACCTGACTGTCTAGTCACAGTCATCTCCCGAGGGCCTCCCCTCTGGCCACCATTCATGGGAAGTTACACCCTGAACGCTTTACCCCCTTGCTACCTCACTTGGGTTAAATCACAACACACTCCAGCCACACCCAACCACGCCAGTGCCCTAGTGTCAATCTCGGCATGCGATTCTGGCCTTTCCTAGGCATGCTGAAGGGCCAGTTTTACACCCCCCCCCAATCTCTTTCTTCTGTACATGGAAACACCCACATCCGTCTACAGAGGGGAAAGTCACAAAAGGACAAACATGGTCTGGGTACCAAGAGAGAACTGGAGAGGAAGCGCTGTCCCTAACCGGCCTTGCATACCGGAGATGCAGGGAGAGGAGTCTTTCAGACGGTTTGTTGTGTGCAGCCTCAGTTAGTAATATGATTATTTTGTTACCAGATTCTTGCTACCCCAGAGAGCCAGCGCTGCCCTTGGAATTCCCGAGAGCTGGCGGGAAAGGACCATTGTTGGAGCAGGATAAAACTATTTGTATGTCTTATACCCCGCTGTAAAAGTATTTTTTAATCCTTGAGTTACTTTCATTTCATACATACTGGTTTTAGAGGGAAGGCATCTTACTGCTTAAATATTGATGAACTTTGCGGGGAGGGTGTGCTGATGCTCATACTATTACTGAGCCCTAAGTGGATGGTTTAAAATTTACGCGCCTAACCTGTATCTCCTCGTCAAGTCATGTGGCTAGAGTTTTAGGGTTTAAACCATTCTGTGTCTGTGTGGGTACCCTGCTGTTATCTCAGACTCGACACACTTAAAACAAGACTTCTTTGTATTCTGTTGTCTTCTTTCAAACTAAGTCCCTTTCCAAGTATCTTTCCTTCTAGTAGCACCATTTCCATTAGATTGGCTCTCTGGGCTTGAAATATTGCGTCAGTTTCTTGGCAAGGTTTTCCTAGACTGTTCTATCCCATCAGTCTCTGCCCAGTGCCCTGTTTTACTGATCTTTATAGTGCTTTTTTTTATGTGGCTTTATGTTGATAGAATTCTTGGCTTGGTTTTGTACTGTCTTTCATGCCCTTTGGAGGATAAAGTTCAAGAAGGCTGGAACTTTGTTTCTCTCTTTGCTGTGTCCCCAGCATCTAGCGTAACCCTTGGCACATAGTAGGTCTTTAATAGGTAACCATGGGAACCAATGGCCTCCCCTGTGGCTCGGGAGGTCCAGCAGGAGTGAGGGGTGGGGGAGATTGCGCTCATTATGCTCAAATGCTTTCAGGCTTTAGTGGGTACTCAAAAAAGCATTTGGCTTCTTGAGGGACAGTCTTTTGCTGTTAGTGTTTACCTCTGATTCATCTCAAACACTAAGAGCAAAGGAATCTTCCCCAAATTTCATTTTGAAAATCATTACCTGCCTGTTGGAAGCTTGAGGTGATTTCTGGTTGCCCATAGGATGAAGTCCTGAACTGCATGTTGAATTTGCATGACCTACTGTTCTTAGCCTCTAGGACCCCTTTGGATTGGTCTTCCTTAGTTGCCTAACTTCACCTCCTATTCTTCTCCTGTAAGAAGCCTTTGTTCCACAGAGGGCTTTCTTCTCAGACCAAGAAATAACTCATTCTCACCGCTGCGGAGAGCAGTGCTCACTAACTCTCACTGCTCACTTCTGCTTTCTTCCTACCTGAAACGCTGTCCTCTTTCTGTCCTGTCTTCCTTCCTGAGACCAAGTGTGAGTTCACGTGCTCCAGGAAGCCACCACTGCCCATGCCGGCACACCTGGATCCCTCCTTTCTGTGAATTCAGTGGCCTGTGTGGTTCCGCTGCACAGGTTGGCATTGTGCTGAACCTCGATTCATACAGCTGGCTCATTGTTTCTCGTGGGCTTGCTTCCTCTCTGCCGGACACAGAATCTTGCTATTTTTTGTGGTGCCAGCATATAATAGGGGTCCAATCCCTATTAGTTATACTGATCTGAATGTCCTGCTGGCATAGAGATTGAAAAATGCTCAGTTAAGACTCTCCTGGGAGGTTATTTTAGGCATAGTAGCCTGTCCTTGGCTCAGAGCCTTGGGGCTAAAATTGCCCAAGACCTGGCAACTTGGCTTAGTTCCCTCAGCTCTGGCCTCCTCACCTTTCACTTCCACTTCCAACTTTGTCTGGCATGGCTCTCACTCTGGGGCACTCGTGCAGCCTACCCCTGGGACAAATCACTGAGGAATAGACTCTTCACAGACATTAGCTTTTGTCCCTCGTGGCTTCTGGTCAAGCAGAGGCCCCAGCCTCTGGGGCAGGCAGGCTGTGGACGTGTGCACCGCCATGCTTGTGTATTAGAACACCAGCACTCTGCTACCTTCAGCCTCTTCTGGATGCTGTAGCACACTCTCGTCTGAACCAGGGCAAGGAACTTCCTTTATGCTTGAGTGCTAGTTGCACCTAAGATTGTAGGGCTGTGGAGTAAGCAGACTTGAGTTTGCCGAAGTCCTACCTTCTCCACTTGCTAGAGTCTACACTTAACTTCTCTGATGTCTGTTTCCTCATCTGTAAAATAAGAGTGATAATAATGCCTATTAAATGGAGTCTGCTGAAAGCAGAATGAGCTAGAACCCCATCAAGGGCTTTAGTGACGTCTGGCACAAACAAAGCAATCAATACGTGCTAGCCATTATTATTCAGTTGTCTGCCTCCTGCTACACGTGAGCAATTCCCATGATCCTTTATGCCACCCCAAGACATGGCCACTGCCTGGGTCCAGGAAGGCCCGGCACATTTGAGGATGCCATCCAGGAGGATAAAAAGTGCCCTGGGCCTGAAGAAGCTTATAGTGAAGTAGAGGACAAAGAAATGGAAATGTGTTATTAGAATATTAGAATCAGGATAAGTGTAGCAATAGGGATGGATGACGGGGGGAAACAGACTAGAATGAGAACTGTATCGATTCAACTTGGGGAGAAGGAGGACAAACAAGGAAGGCCTAAGATGAGTGGTTCCTGAGTACTTAGGGTGCTGAAGGTTACACGCGTTCAATAGGTGACAGCGGAAAGGGTCTGCTCAGGCTGGCAAGGGCACTGTTCTGAAAAGGGAGGAGCCACAGGAGAGTACTGCAGGACAAAGAGGCAAGGTTGGTGCCACAGCATCAAGAATGGGTTCTCGGGGCCGGGGATTTAGCTCAGTGGCAATGCGTCTGCCTGCAAGCGCAAGGTTCTGAGTTCGATCGCTGGTCCTGGAAAAAAAAAAAAAAAAGATTGTGTTCTCATGAAATACGGGAAAGTGAGGAGCCAGATAATGAGCAGGTAGGTACACGGTCATTGATGTGTGTCATCGATGTGTGTCGTGCCTGGGAATGGCTGCCCCTCCTTTCTTCTAGAAGCACATGCTCCTTAGCACTGCAGTGCTATCACACGCCCCTCGGGTTTCCTCCTAGCCTCTATCCAGCATCTGCCTGTCACCTGCCTGCGCCAGCGCTTCTCCGGGACTCAGTTCTGGAGCCTCTCCTCTGATCCTTCGGGCCCCTGAGGGATTCAGCTACCTGCAGGGCTCCTCTGCATGCAGATCTGAGCTCTAGACCTGTGTTCCCCTCCCTATTTGACTTGCATGTCTTACCAACGTCAGACTTAGCATGTGCAGCACCAAATGTCCTATGTGAACCCCATAAACTCGTACCCCCAGCTTTCTTAGTCTCAGCGTCCCTGACTGGACCTACCAGGTCCGAAGCTTGGGATCTCTTCTTCACTCCCCTCCCCTCTCTCTCAGCTCCCATTTGTAAATGATCCCAAAGACTTGTCATTCTGCCCCTTAACTAGCTATTAATTGTATCTGCCGTTTGTTCCCTCTGCTAACCCTGAATCTGAGCCCCATAATCTACTGAACTCAGCGCGGCCTTGAAGCCGGTGTCTCTGTCAGGACCGTTTCGTTCTACGCCACTCTCACCCAGAGTAATCTTTAAAAAAAAAACCGAGTGAATACGCCTCTTGTTTCTTTCAGTGGATCCCCACACTGCCCTTTGGATAGCACCCCAGATCCTTTGCACGCCTCACACGGCCACCCATGACCTTGTGCTTGTCTGTTTCCCATCTTTACGACATATCCCTCTGTCCTCAGTCTACATGGCATCCGTGCTATTCAGGACCCTTACAACTGCAGATCCTGCCATCTGGAGCACTCTCCCCATCTTCCTTCATCTGGAGAACTCTTTTTTGTTTTGTACTGGGGATCGAATTCGGGACCTTGTGCTTGTGAGGCAGGCGGCATCTGGAGAACTCTTACTCCTCCTCCGAGTGGCATTGTCCTCTTCTTGCGCAGTGACACCTTCCCTGCACGTAGGGGAGGCTTGCTCTCCTGGATGCACCTTCCATAGCCACCTCACTTTCCCTACTTGAACTCTGTTGTCCGTTTCCATCACAGAACTGTAAGCCTCGCTAGGGCACGGGCTGTCTCTGTCGTGCTTGGTACAGTGACTCAGAGCTAGTGTAAGTTGTAGTTCATGAGGTGTCTAATATGCAGCTATCCATTTGTTTTAGAATTGGCTGTACTCTAGGCAGTGGAAGACTAGTGAGTTAGAGTCTGAGATAGCAAGATTGGCTACAGATAGATTGCTGTGGCGTAGAGGGCATGGATACCAGTGGGGCAGGGCTGGGGAGGGGGTGGGATGTTACTACTGAGGTGCTGGGTTAGGACAGGCAATCGGGACAGAGGGAGGCAGATTTGAGCGATGAATCAGATGGCTCACAGACTTGTGCTGCAGAAGTGGAAGGAGTCTGGAGTGACTCCCGGGTTTGGGAAAGAGAGGAGGAAGAACTCACCTGGTGAGGAAACAAATGAGTTTCATTTTGGATTTATTGAGTTTGGGCTTAATAAGTGGGACATGAGGCAAAATTGGTCATCAGACAGTTGTATGTGACTCATGAATCAGGAGCTATAAGGTTGGGTCTGGAGTTGGGGATTGGAGAGGTTTAAATGAGTCAGGGGTGACTGGGAATGAGAGAGATCAACTCAGGAGGGGACTGAGGTCAAAGGGAAAAGGGTAGAAAGCAAAGCAGGGCCACCCGTGACTGCCTGAGGCTGGTGGTGAAACAACAGTGGTTCTTTTTTTCTACATCAGCTTCAGAGTGGCTCAGTTCAGGGGTGACTCACAAAATATTTTCCTCCCACATATTCAGAATCTAGGCTGGGAGCCTTCTTCATGTAAAGAGTTCATTTATAATATGATAAGCAGTATTCTCAGATTGCCCACCTCATACCTGCCCCTGTTATAATCCCCATAAAGTGTCTGGGACTTACGGCAGTGATGGGACAGTCACCCACCTGGTTAGCTTGTGTCATGAACGGGATGTTATCAGACGAATGGACCTCTCAGATGGGCCCTTCACAGGAGCTGGGCGGGCTTTTCCTGATGAAGGGATTCAAAGTGTGGAAGGATTCAGGGACAGAGCGTCTCCCTGGCTGACTTTGGAGGTGGAGGTGGCAGTGTGGCAAGGAATGTGGGTGGCAGTGGAAAAGGAATGGGAACCACTGGCTAGGGGCCCCTGCTGTGACGACAGGACAAAATCAACTCAAAATGTGGGGAGGACTGGGGCAAGTCTTGCTTTGATTTGATGGCCCGACATCAGAAACACCCTAGAGGTACCTGGACAGCTTTGCCCTACTGTTTCTTTTAGGTTCACTGAGAAGGCTAAGCCATGGCCAGAGGCAGCTCTGCTCTCTGTAAACCTGCGTCCAAGCAGTTTATCACCCAGCAGGCTGCCTGTGCATTATATTTAAGACTACAAATCTTAAATGGGCATGTAACCATAATTTATTGCTGCCCAAGTCAGTTACTTGGATTACTTCCTTAAAATGCATTTCCTCATACTTTCTCCCCTCTTCTTAAACTGGCTTTTCTTTCCTATATCATGCATTGGTAAAATAGAAGCAACTTAGTCCATATTCCAACCACCACATCTTCTGCATCAGTACCCCTCTGGCTGATCTTTTCTCACACTGACAAGGAGGAATCATCCCAGATTCTTTCTATACGAAGTTGCCTGTCTGCATCATCCTGGATTAAGGTTTTTTTGTTGTTTTTTTTCCCCTGGTACTGGAGATCGAACTTGGGTCCTTGCGCTTGCGCAGCAGGCACCGAAACCACTGAGCTAAATCCCCGGCCCTTGGATTAGGGTTTTGGGAGTCCATGAATAAGTTTGGCTGCTTGTGGGTCACAAGTAAGAAAATCTAATTTAAAATGACTTAAACAGTAAGAAAAACATATTTTTCCAAAGACATGGATTCCGGGATTGGTTAATTCAGTAGTTTAACCCTCTCCAGAGTGCAGGCTCATTCCCTTTCAGCGTGGATTGCCATAGTCTAGCTCCGAGTGTCCCAAGAGAGCTGCCACAACTTCAGATACCAATTCCAGATGACAGCACCCAATGGAAGAAGACAGACTGTTCTTTTTTTTTTTTTTTTTTATCAGCAAGGAAACGTTTCCCACAGTGAATAAAAGAGATCTTTGTTTTGGACTGGGCACCAGCATTGGGCCCAAGAGACCAAGCTAAAAATCAAAAGGAGTCGCTCATGGCAGAGTTCCACATCACCAAGCTGAAACTGAATCACTTATCTGGCATCCCGAGAAATCAGGATTTGAGAGATAATAGTCATATTTCCCAAATAGGCCAGTTTCAGTTGGCATGATAATAGTATTTTCACTGCTTTAATCCTTTCTCAAAAGAAGTGAGGAGAAATAACCCAAGGCTAACTCATCAGTTATTTTGCTATTGTTGTCTTCCTGCCTTACAAGGAAAGTAACTTGGAGATGACCAGTCTACTTTGTTCATTTGTTTCTGCTTTTTTTCAGCCTTTCTTTGTAAAACCATCCTGTCTGGTCAGCCCATCAGAACACAGTTTATTTTGTGGAGTGAAGTATTGCCAGATTCCAGATCTGAAAATGGAGTCAATTAAGATCTTTAAATTGTTTTAATTCTGTCTTTTGACACCTAGGATGACCCCAGTGATTCTTCTCAATGGGCAGAACTGGGTCACATGGCCCTCCTTAGGACCACTTTCGAAGGAAATTCTTAGCATCACATACTTGGCCCAGTGAGTCTCAAAGATTCTCCCTAAAACCAGCAGTAGCAAGACTTGAGAACTTGTTACAAATGCAGTTTATTGGGTTCTACCCGAATCCATTGAATCAGAAATTCTAGATGGAAGGGGCAGCCATCTGTGTTTTAAAACATTCTCTATGTGAAACGGATGCATGCTTAAGTTTGTGAAGGATTGGTAGTTTAGGAACGTTTATGTTCTCTTCAAATTCATATGTTGAAATCTAATCCACAGTGCAATGGCATTAATAGGTGGAACCTTTGGAAAATGACTAGATCGTGATGAATAGGATGGATTAGTGCCCTGAGAAGAGAGGCCGGAAGGAGTTATTTGTGTGGATACAAGCAGATGGCACCATCTGACCCAGACAGAGCAAACTCTCACCAGGTACAAATCTGATGATGCCTGGATTTTGGGCTTCCAAGCCTCTAGAACATGATAAATGAGATTCTGATATCTTGTTGTAACAGCCCAGAGAGACCAAGGGAACTGGCAGAAGCCAGCCAGGGTTTATCTCTGAGCCAGGGCTAGAGCAGCTTTCCTGAGGACCTGAAAAACACTTGAGATCTCTTAGCAAGAAGGTGGTCCTGCGAAGATACAAACTGGGTTGCCAAGCGCAGAAATCTGTTCTCTTACCACTCAGGAGGCACAGCCCAAGGCTAAGGTGCAGGACCCTTTGGTGTCAGATGAGCTGTTTTCTCACCACATCCTCACCTTCAGCAGTGGTAGAGAGGGAAGAGAAAGAGAAAGAGAAAGTGAGGACGGAAGAGAGAGGAGGGAGAGACTCCAAGGAGTTCTGCTCCTCACCAGGTTGAGAACCACTGCCGTGCACCTGGCCCTGTGGGCCCCTCCCTCCCTCCCTCCACCTAGCCTGTTGGTCTCCCTGCCACACCCATTCCAGGGGGCAGGGAGGGGCCAAGCTGCTTCTTGCCTGGGACTTCTGTGCGACTTTTGGGCAGCTGGGCTCCCTCTTCCTCTGCCTGAAGCAACCCTTTCCGGTGTTGTCTGGGCCTTGAGCCTGAGTCCTCCTCCCTTCCGATGTCAATAAAAACAATATTAAACTTTTAGTGTAGAGAGGGACTGATAGAATTCTAGATTTTCTTAAGGTGCATACTTCCTGTCTTTTTTGAGATAATAAGAAAAAATTTCAGAAGTAATTTTGGTGCCCCACAGTGTGTAGGGGTGCATTCTGTAATCCTGGCTACTCAGAAAGCTGAGGCAGGAGAATCAAAAGCTCTAGGCCAACCTCAGCAATTTGGCAAAAATCTGTTTGAAAGAAATCGAACAAAAAAGTTTAGGGATGCAGCTCAGTGCTGGCACTTTCTGGCACGCATAAGGCCACAGGTTCAGTCCTCAGTAAAACACACACACACACACTCAAACACTCACACATTGGTTCCCTTACCTGCTATCTTAAATGCTTAGCTGGCCTTGAGAAATCTGGCCCTGAATCTTTCAAGCTTATCACAGGTGTCACCTCCTCAGAGAGATTTGTCTTCATCCTTTGCAGAGTGGCACGCTCACCTTCTTGAGGCCTCCTAAGTATCCTGTCATCCTGATTGTAAAAAATATTCCCTGGAGTTGAAATCTGTAATGCTTAGGTTTAGTTTTAGTTTTTGTTCTTTATCTCCAAGGACAGGGTCTTGTCTCTTTTGTTTGCTGCAGTATCTTCTTTTACCTAGCACAACACCTTGTACAAGGTAAGTGCTCAGAAAGTATTTTCAGAATGGAGAGTGAGTGAAGGCAGGCTGCTCTGTGAGCAAGTGGAGGGGACAGTAATCCCAGGCCAGATAGGCCGGTGTGCATTGTCGCCCCGCCAGAGGCGTCTCCTGGCCTGGGCTGGGAGAAGGAGTTTCCTTCACAGAGGGGAGGCTTCCTGTTCGAGGAGGGAGGGCCTGGTTCCAACAACCGAGGCTCAGGGCCAAGGAGGGAGATGGGAGCAGGAATGTGCCATGAAGCTGGGTAGACTCCGGGACAGCAAAAGCTGATAGTTTGCTTTTAGATTGTAGTTTCCCTGAATCACTTCCACATTTTCAGTGTGGTTTCTTACACTCAGCAGCTGTGTGTTTTGTTCTTTGGGCCCTGGAGGAAAGGCTGGGGGCCAAACTGGACTGGAGGGGTTGGGCCCAGCACGGAGAAACGGGCCTGAGGGAGCTGGAGGAGCTTGCAGGAGGGCCGCAACCAGGATGCATGTGCCTGTGAGACTCTCACCTGGGAACTCTCAGAATGGTGCTGGGGTCATAGTGATCCCGACTGGCTGAAGAAGTTGGGTCATTCTGGTTGCAGAACTAACGGACTGTGGTAGTTATGTGTCCATGTGTCGGTCCCATGACACAGCGGTTTCCCGTGAACCGAGGCTGTGCAGACTTGGTTGCTGCTGTGTGGCTGAGTGCCCGGCCCCGCCTGGGTACCCGGTAGATACTGTTCAGTGAATGAACGGTTCTGGGTGTTGTGCAATTCTGGGTTAAAAGTCAGATGTGCTAACACATGACAAACTGGAAGAA